TAGTACTTCATAAAAAATAGAAATCATTGAGATTATAATACATCAAAGACCATAGCAATGTCAACCAGAAATCTTTTGAGTTTATCTGAACATGCCAAGCAAATTTCCAGTATTTTTAAGTGCATAAAATTTATGTGCCCCATATACTTCAAAATAGCTGACATAAAAGTCTGTAATCCTTTGATCAAATGTTTTGGAAATATGCCTTAATGCATGGACAATCTGGAGTAATAATGCTTCCACCATTCTAAGGCATACTTAATTTTCAACATCACATGCAGATTTGAAAGATAAAAACAGATAGGGTTCTACATTTTCTCCTACTGCAGTAAAAACACAGGTGCTTGCAAATTGATATAAGCTGAGGGAGTTAGTTTTCTGAAAATTCAGCAAGGCAAAACAAATAGGTCTGATTCTTTGACATATAAAGGCCTTGTGGTATTTCCATTATCACCTTAGTCCCCTGATCCATCTAAAATGCAATAAAACTAGGTAAGTGGAGAACTGAAAAATGTAATAATAAAATGTAATAAAATGTACTAAAATAAGAGTTAAAAGCAATGTTGAAATAAGAGATAAAAAATTAATCTAAAAAGGCCTCACGATGACAATGAAACAGTATTATTTACTGTTTTATTTTATTATTTTATTTTATAGAATGTGTACATGGCCTTCAAGATTGGAGACATCTTCATGGAGAAAAGGGGTGAATTTAACATGGAATAAAGTTTTATTTGTTTGTTCTAAAGACCCCTGCTCATAATTTCATTTATCTCTTGTTTCCATAACAACATATGGTCTTTGGAAGTTCTTGACTTATTAAATCACATCAATAAAGCTTATTATTTCCATATTTATTTTGGAGTCTTATTTGTTCATTGGTTTTATGAAGACCAATGTAGACTAGCCTTTGTCAAAAGCTTAAATAGTCTATACCAGGGCTGTCAAACTCCAGGCCCACAGGCTGGATGCATCACGCGCTGGCCACGCCCACACCTGGTTTAGCAAAGGGGGGGCAAAATCCCGATACATCACATGACAGCACCGTGACAACATGAGTTTGACACCCCTGGTCTATACATTCTGACTGCTGGACTTCACAAGGATCTCCCAGCAAGAAGAAGCAGTATGTTCTGCCCCAGCTACGGACCCCAAAGAACGCAGCATACACAAAGTCCGTACAAACCTTAGTTTACTAATTAAGGACTACTAATGAGCTTTCTTAGTAGTTGTTCGAACACAAGTACAGTTTAAATCAGTCTTTTCTGAACAAGAGCTGTTAATTTAACTTCATTAACAGCCAACAAGAATCCAAAGAATAATAACTCAATTCTGAGGCACAGTATTTCAGATAACAGAAATCTTACTGTGGTTGGCAGAATGCCCAGAAGCAATTTGCAGGAACACTGACAAGAGAGAAGCAAGAGCCAATCAAATGTTTCTGGAATCAAGACGCGAAGGAATATGAACGAAGTTGTTTCCTGCAAATTGCATCATTCCTCGTCCTTCCTTAAATAGGCTAGGGGAGTGGCAAATTAGCCCCAAGCCTTACTCTCAAGGAGACCTCCTCCTGAGGAGCCACTCCTGCCTTTAACAGCTCTGCGCGCTTGTGCATCAAGAAGAGGCTCCTCCTCTTCTTCCTCTTCACTTATGGGAGCTTCTGGAGGTTCTGAAGGCCCTGGCTGAATCTCTGCCTCTGGCACCACATCTTCTCCAGCCTCTTCATTGTCTGACTCGAGTGCCAGCTGCACAGAGATTCAGCATCACCACACCAGCCTCCTCGCTGTTGGAATCAGCTACTAGCTGCACAGGCCGCTGACGGGCCACAACACAGTATGAATCAGGGGTGAAATCTACTTACCTTCCCTACCAGTTTGGAAGTGTGCGCTCCATGGAGCGCCGACTTCCAAACCGGTAGGGAAGGTAAGTTGATTTCACCCCTGCTATCCACTCATCCTAACCTTATAGAAAATTATATTGGCATGACTGTTGCTGATACATTATCCCCCACTGTTAATCCATGTCTTGATTCTACTGTTACTGTTCTGGTTCCCAATGAGGAGTCTTGATTTTCCATGAGCAATGTATGAGGAAAAAACTGGTTGAGTCCTCTAGTTTGCCTGTCCTCCTTCTCCAGCTGAGCGGATCTCAGCTGGAGAAGGGAAAAACATCTCATGTCCAGCTGAGGGGAAAAACATCCACCCACAATGACACAGCAGCTAGATTGGGACAGATCTGGCTGCAGATTTCTGCCCATCTTCTTTAGGGCCCTTCCTGTGTTCCTCCTTCTCCAACTCATTGTGTCACAAATTAAGCTGAAAAAAGTAAAAGACAAAAGACGGAGTCACAATTGGAGCTGAGTCACTAGCAGCATTTTTACATGATTCATTTTCCCATCTTCTATTTCTTTATACAGACAACATATGCCTATGTCCTGATTCTTACAAGCTTTGTTTAGGAAGCAATGGAGGGTTTCAACTCAGTTTTTTGCTGTTGAAGCAATCTAACACGTATTACTAATCATTCTGCCAATGGCAATTAAGTGACACTGAGAAGGTGAGGTTCCACCAAGCTTCTATTAGCCAATTTGTACAATTTGTACCCCACCTCTCTGATCTCTGGATCGTCTCCTACACTTTCTTTTTTCTGTCTCTTTCCCCAAAGCAATGGCTGCACCTCTTTCAGACCTGCACGAGTTCCAGGTTGCCACACAACAGATCCCACATTTCCCGTCTTTAAAACCTGACTTTCCACTTCATCTGCTACTTTTGCCAACCCACAAAATGTATTCTTAGTTTGGAAAGGTGGCAGGTAAATAGTAGGTTAACTCAGTTGATCTGTAGATCTATCAACCTGAGAAATATCTCTTTGCTGATACATACACCATACATCACCATCAGCTGTTAAGAAACCCAACCAACAGCTGATAGTTCTGAGAGGCCTGCATAGGGAAGAGAAGACACCACTCTGTATAAACACCGCAGTATCTATTTCTTGTTATTGCTCCTTTTGAGTCCACCCATGCAAAACCCTTGAACAAAACCTAAAGCAAGTCCTAGAGAGATGGCAAAACCCATCTAGCCATCTGTTAAAATTGGCCTTATCCAGCCCCCAAAACTATTCTTTGTTAAGGAGATTGGTTGTTGGGGATGGTTTTCCTGCCAGGTGGTGATGCTTGATGGGAAGGGAGATTCTTTCCTTATCCTGTGTGTGTCAATCTTAAACAGGTTTGATAGAAATAGAGGTGGGGTATCCATATAATTACAGCCGCTAGATTGGCATATGCACAGTTTTGGAAAGAGAAAATTCAACCACCAGAAGAGCTTACAATTAAGAAAATACTCGAGTGCGCAGAGATGACTAAATTAACTTATGAATTAAATGATGAAAAGTCAGTATACTATATGGTGTGGGAAAGGTGGTACAAGTGGTTGCATGATAAAATGGAAGAAAGATCAAAGGTGTGTTAAATATTGGTTAAAAGTGAGTCAAAATATCAACAAGTATTATTTATGTAAATAGTTAAAACACTGCATATCCGATACAAATTGAAAAATGTTTATTATATTTATGTGTTTTATGTTATTGTTTGAATGATTGTTTTGTTTGTTTGTTTGTTTGTTTGTTTGTTTTTCTCATTTTTTTTCCTTTTTGTTCTGTAAAAAATCTCAATAAAGTCTATTAAAAAAAAAAAAAGAAATAGAGGTGGGGTGGGGTACCAAATGTCAGGTTGGTTTTCAGGTGGCTGAAGGACTAGAGCATAGTCATAGTTCCTGAAAGACCAACAGAGTTATTATGTCTGTAGCTTCATAGCACTTCTAAGAGGACGGTACCATTTCTAGCAATATATGGTTGCACTAATTCAAACAATTTGGATGTACAGTAGGAGAGAGAAAGGCAGGGAGATGGAAAAGAATAGCTTTTTTTTTTTTGTCATAGACCAGCATAGACCAGCATGTTGGATGCATAAGTTATGTAGCCAAATCACACTGTGATTTGTATCTGTACCTGTGGAATCATTCACAGAAACCATTGGTGGGGAAAGAATCTGGAAGATTTTCATAACGATTACACACACACACACACACACACACACTTATATGTTTATATACATATATGTGTGTGTGTATACACACACAGAGACATTTAAAGAAACCTTGAAAACTGCTGAAATAATTAATTATTTTGTTGCTCCAATGTAAGAGTAATAACAGCATTAATCAGTTTGCCGTATCAGTCTGACTCCTTATACCAAGGACACAGCTATTATTGATAATTTCCTTTCAATGGAAAATGCTACTCATCACATATTTAAAAAAACCCAAAACTCAACCTTTTTAGTCAATTGAGTTCATGAATCTCTTTCCTTCCCTGTATTTATTTACTTATTATTGTTTTCTAGTACATTTCCCCAATGCTTGAACTACCCTAAAATCTTTCTTCAGCATAAGATCAACATTTTAAGATCAGAATATAATCTTAATATAAACTTGGGGGGGGGGGAGAGATAGTGAAGAATCTTTAATTTATGAAACTGAAGAAGTGGACTTATATAAATCTCTCTAGGGCTTTAATGGGGGATATCTATAATTCTCTGAGTTGTATTCCTTTCACAGTGATATTTTGTAATTCCATTCTATTACCCTTGCTTAACATTAATGAGATAAAAAGATCGCATTATGGCGACTGATGTTCTTCAAATTAAATGCGTGTTTCCATGTACAAAGCTGCCTCCTAATTTAAAAAACATAGCATGTAACATAGACTCATGACCACGGTCATCACTCAACTGAAGCCAGATCGCATTTTTTATCTATTCATTGGATTTAACAAGGCGTGAGATGGAAGCAGAATACCAAGTGTGTCTAGATTATCGCACATCCCCCCATTTGGCCAATTCTTGGCACCCTCAACAAGGAAACTGAGGCTTCGCCGTTGCCATAGCAATAAACCTCAAGGTCAAAGGGGCATATGGAAGGTCAGGCAATGACAAAGGAACATCTGAGAGGCCATCTGGATGAGTGACCTGACATAATTAGTCATTAATCCCACTCTTGGGAACAATAGAGTGAGCTGGGAATGTGTTTGGACTTTGATCGTGGTCAGGGTGATCTCGGAGGGAAGGGAAGAGAAAGCTAAGCAGATTACCCTGGCATTCTGTTAACTAAAGAACAGCGAGCAGAAGTGGCCAGTGGCATATGCATCTCACATGTGCTACCTTTTCCTTCAGTTACTATTAGGCCTCTTTCCAGAGCCATGTGGCTCCTGGATTAGTTCAGGAGAGATTTTCTTTTTTTACAGTGTTCAATGAAAAGAGAGCAGTAGTTTACTTAAAATTCTCAGGCAACAGATGGGGAAAAAAAACCCAGAGCCCAAAGCACCAGGCAGCTTGCTTTACAGGTGTCAATATTTACTAAGCAGACTTTGCTAGCATCTCTTTTGGGGGAAAAGAAGAGAGGATAGTTAATCAGGAAAACAATAGCAATCAGCCCTGTTGTCTAAAACAGAACGATTAGAATTAAAAGATGATGGATGGAATGGTAAGAACTACTCCTTGGCATCTGTCTCACGCCCACCCACCCACCCCTTTCACCCTTCCCTTTCATTCCCATCTGCACTTGCATGTCATGTTTTATTATACAGACCCAGGCTTTGATCAGAAGATAACCTTCATGTGTAGCTTGGGGTTTTTCTGGTGGGAAGAGTAGGTGATGTGCCATGATGGATCACCTCCATTTTTTTTATAGGATGTGAGAACAATAATAGGCTGTGTTAAATCTGGGAATAGTTAGACCTCCTGAGATTGTTTCTCCCTCTTGGAACAAAAGATTTTCATTATTTTAACAGGACTAGGCTGAGGATGCTAGTTAAATAGAATAGGGAGAGCTGGGAGAGAAAGATGCATGGTAATCAAAAGTAGAAAGATTCATGCAATTCTGCACAAAATATGCAGTGTTACTTGTTTCTTTCTTTCTGTCTGTCTTTTACAACAGTCCTTTGCTATCCTGTCAATATCTATGATATTTATTTATTTTTAAATTTATTTTGCTACCTATCTTATACAGAATAATCCTGGGTGGCTCATAATAATAATAATAATCGGGGAAAAAGCAGAATACATGTAGCCATCCTCGAGTTATGACTACAACTGAGCCCAAAATTTACATTGCTAAGTGAAACATTTGTTAAGTGAGTATTGCCCCATTTTATGATCTTTCATTCCACTGCAATTGTTAAATTAGTAACTCCGTTGTTAAATGAATCTGGCTTCCCCATTGACTTTGCTTGTCATAAAGCCACAAAAGGGGATGGCATGGCCCCAGGACATTGCAACCATCATAAATATGAACCAGTTGCCAAGCATCTGAATCAGGGGTGGATTCTACTTATCTTTACTACCGTTTCACATCGTGCCCGCATGCGCATATCACTTCTGATGACGTCCGGGTCAGTGGGCAGAGCCTCCCACCGGTTTTACTACCGGTTCTTGCAAACCGGTCCGAACCAGGAGGCAACCCACCACTGATCTGAATTCTGATCGTGTGATCATGAGGATGCTGCAACAGTCGTAAGTGTGAAAAACAATTGTGTCACTTTTTTCAGTGCCGTTGTAACTGTGAAGGGTCACTAAATGAACTGTTGTATGTCAAGGACTACCTGTAGATAAAAACCAAGCAATTCACAACAAGACCCATATTTCTCAATCACACTGCTACAACATGCCATAAAGCCTACCTATTTAGCATTTGCTAGGTGCACGTCTAGCCCAAATTCTTGGTAAAGAGCCAGGTCTTCATAGCCCCCCCCAGAAGTTCAATAGGATTGGGGTTTTCAGACTCTCAGGGAGGAGGCCCTTCCAAAAGGGTGGAGCATTTACGGAGAAGCATGTCTCTGAGGGCCCATCAGATGGCAACATTTAAAGCAAGGGACCTGAACTCTACCCAGCATATCTAACCTGATGGGAAACTACTCTCAGGAAGACATGGACCTTCATGTAACTTGGCCCTGCACCATTTAGAGCTTTAAAAGTGACAAAGAGCACCTTGTATTGGACCCAGAAGGAAACTGCAATCAGCTCAAACAACAGCAACTGAACATGGGCAAATTGTGAAGTACCCCAATTATTATCATTATACTTAAATATCATAATTGTATTTAGTTACTTATAACTTCTTGTTGTTATTACCATTCTTACAGTTCCTCAGAAGAAAGCCATCTCTAAGAGAGTATCAGGACTACATTCACATACAGTTAGAATAACAGAGTTGGAAGGGACCTTGGTCCAAACCCCTGCCCAGGCAGGAAACCCTACACCACTTCAGACAAATGGTTATCCAACATCTTCTTAAAAACTTCCAGTGTTGGAGCATTCACAACTTCTGGAGACAAGTTGTTCCACTGATTAATTGTTCTAACTGTCAGGAAATTTCTCCTTACTTCTAAGTTGCTTCTCTCCTTGATTAGTTTCCACCCATTGCTTCTTGTTCTACCCTCAGGTGCTTTGAAGAATAGATTGACTCCCCTGAGATATTGGAACACTGCTATCATGTCTCTCCTAGTCCTTCTTTTCATTAAACTAGACATACCCAGTTCCTGCAACCGTTCTTCATATGTTTTGGCCTCCAGTCCCCTAATCATCTTTGTTGCTCTTCTCTGCACATTGATCCAAGGAGTGGCTATTTTCCTCAAGGGTTCACTTAGAGGTTTTTTTTTCCCCATTATCAGGTTGTAATGCTATCAACTCATCCTTCAGTTAGCAGTTAGGCATGATGACATAAAATGCAATGTCCCCATGCCTAACATTTTGCCCTTTTGGCCATTCTTCCCAATAACATCTAGTCACTTGATTTCTTTCTAACACAGATTTTAGACACTTTGAAGCCCTAGGATAGTGTCAAAATAAGAAAGAAAACAGTGTTCTTAATAAAGTACCAGTATAGTTGGATGGCACAAACCTGTCTCGCAGAGGCCTGAGGATAACATGCAATGCAATGCAATGGGAAAACACAGAAAAAAGATAGCACCAGGACCTCTTTATTAGGGACATCACTTTAGAGTGAAGCAGTGAGGCAGTAAAACAGAGATTTTTAAAAAAATCTTCCATGATTGGTCCAAATTCATTTCTTATATTTCTGAATTAAAAAGTAATGAGCATATTGTCATAGTAATCGGTATCATTTAATGCTTGTCTAAAATCTGAGAAGTCCAGTCCATGATCAATGTTCTTAAAATATAAAATGATATTTTTTATCATTTTACCAGAACACCAGAACAACTAGACACAAGAACAGTTTTTTCCCGAACGCCATCACTCTGCTTAACAAATAATTCCCTCAAGACTGTCAAACTATTCACTAAGTCTGCATTACTATTAATCTTCTCATCATTCCTATCACCCATCTCCTCCCACTTATGACTGTATGACTGTAACCTTGTTGCTGGTATCCTTAATATTTATATTGACTGTTTCCCTATGACTATCATTAAGTGTTGTACCTTATGATTCTTGATGAATGTATCTTTTATGTACACTGAGAGTGTATTCACCAAGAAAAATTCCTTGTGTGTCCAATCACACTTGGCTAATAAAGAATTCTATTCTATTCTATTCTATTCTATTCTATTCTATTCTATTCTATTCTATTCTATTCTATTCTATTCTATAAAAACTAATCAAAGAAAGGGGAGGGGAATGGACAGAAGAAAAATTCTCATTATTTCAGCTAAATAATTTTCAGTTAGTTATAATAAGGGGACTTTCCAAATCTCATTCGTTGGATTCTAGTTTCCATCATCTCCAGCCCCCATAACTATGGGGCAAAGATAATAAGTCTGTACCTCATCAAGGAAAAAGTTAGGAAAGATTCATTTAAGCCTGTACATATACAAAGGCTTCATAGAAAACAGGGTTTTGTACGTATCACTCCTGGACATTAAGTTTATGTGTTAACCCTATCCATGAATGATGGAATTATTAATTTATTTTAAATTATATTATTAATAATTTAAAGAAATAGAAATAAAACCAGTCCTCTAAATTCTATGACAATCAATTTCTTAGCCGTTGACGACTAAGGAAAACAGCTTGAACAGCATTCAAGGGTGTGTCCATCGAGATCAAAAAGTCAAGATGACAGTCACAGCCATGTGGTCCAAGCCTTTTTAAAGACTGTTGTGACACACATTAAAAACTGGTAGAGTTGCAATCAAATGGTTGCGGTTGCCTTTTTTTTTTTTTTTTTGCTCTCCTGCAGATATGCCTGACTGCAACAATTACCTTCTGTGGGAAGAAAGCCTGTTAAACCATCAATTCCCAAAAGCTTTCTGGAACAGCCAGATCTTGACAGATCCACATGGTTTCAATCACTGGTAAGCTATTTTCTCCCTTCTTCAACAGTCTGCAACAGCCTTGCCAGTTACATTCCATTTGCTTTGTCACACTAATTTTAATAATAGTTACATCTGAACTTGCAAAACAGTCACACATGGATATTTGCAAGAGCTTGCTGCTTTCATCCAAATGATAAAAGTGACATGACAGCATCACATCCCAACTCCTGCCCTCCTTGGTACATGTCTGGGATAAGATGGGATTTGTGTCACAATACTGCTTTTGTCAACCTTGCCCCTGCTATGAATGCTGCTACAAGCAAAGCACTAAAAGATGATGCAAAGACAGGCAATGACAGCTACAAAGCAGAGAGAGTGAGGGAGAGAGAGAGAGAAAAAAGAAGATCCATTGGAATTACAGTATATGAGTTTATGCATATGGGAATCTTCATTTTAGGAGCAACTAATCATAGAACTCCATGAGATCCATTTTTAAATAAAGTTTGTATTTCAAGGGATTAGGAGTCTTATTAAGAAGCTAGGAACAGCCCTTTTGGATTTGCAAAAAAGGCCCATCAAGAACCATGTTTTCTCTTGGTGGCCAAGTAAATGCATGTCACTTTATGCAAAAACTTTTCTCCCTACAATATATAGCAACCTGCTTTTGAAATTTAAACAAAATGCTTTGCGATGGTCACGAATGTCAAATATTCAAAACTTAAAATATCATTGATTCAATCCATATGATTCTCGTTTCATCATAAAATTTTTGGCTGCCTTGCATGGATCATATGGATCATATTCCTTTGCGTGTCAGGATTTTGGTTTTTTGTACTTAAAAACATTGAAAAGACAAATCTTGATCATGATCAGAGACTATAATCTTAATAAAAAAATACTTTTGCTTATCACTGAGCACTAACTGATATGTGTCTTAATAGGAGTGGGGAGTGAAGCACTGAATCTCCCGTCTTGATTTGGATCATTTGCAAACATAATTTTCTAAAACACATACAGAGCTACATGCAACATCAATTACGTTATTTAACATAATATGTAGTTTGGCATATTTGGCAGAGATCTTTCCCAGTAGCATTGCTTGATGACACCTTTTCCCCCTCTCCTAATGCCTAGAAGGCTAATGAAAATAATCAAAGGAGTCTTGGTCTCCACCTAAAAAATGTGGAAGACAGGCTTAACTGCAAATGTTAGCAGGGAATATCATTAATTTGCAAACATTATTTCAGGAAAACTAAATGTCACTTCTTAATATAACAAATATTTCTTTAAAAGTAATTTAGCTGCTGAAATTGAATTTAAAGAGAGAAAGAAATAAAAAGTAAAATAAAATAAAAGCTGTGTAAACAGAACATCGTGTTGAAATATAAAACTGATTTAAAAAAAAAAGTCAAATTATTTTTAGGCACACAAAAGAAATCTAGACAAAGATGAGTATTTGTAAAACTTTTATATTATCATCAGCAAACAATACCAATAAGTTGTCATTTTCTTAGTTTTTTTTTCTTCACAAGTAGACTCTTAGAATTAATTCGCTTTTCTAATGGAACTTGTGTCCAGGGTGTCTCAGAGTTGAGAAGTTGACAATATCACAGTGGTAGGCATGACTGGACAATCAAAATCCTGCTCCTTTTTTATGTTTTTTGCCAAAAAAAGGGGGGGGGCAGGGATTCTATTGCCCAGTTATGCCCACCATTTTGACACTGCTGACCTCTGCTTGAATTCTTGAACAAGCCCTTCAAAAACTCTAAAACTGTATTGCCACTTATATTCCTAAACATCCCAACAGCTCATCCATCGCCACTGTAACTGACTCTATGCACCTTGCTGCTTGCTGTTGAGCCTCTTCTTCTTTTTCCTTCCACCTTTCCCATCATTAGAGCTTTCTCAAGGGAGCTACGTCTTCATCGGAATATGTTTTACCAAATTAGAATTTCTGGTGAGATGCTAAGATACCTTTCTCGCTGTTAGTCCTTTGTTTGTGTGGTGTTTTTTAAAAATTAACTCAGGCCTGTTTTTACTATTTTTCATCCTGCATAACTCTATAGTATTGCACCAGAAGCTCCATTTGTGTGAGAATCTCAATATGATGCATATGATTCAGAGAGTATCATTAAAATAGGGAGTATAATGGGTAGGGTGGATTCTTCAATAGGAAACTTTTGCAAGTTTGAAAATGTGCATAGTAGGGGGAATCAAGACATTACTATAGGGCACTACACTCCAGAACAACTAGACACAAGGACAGTTTTTTCCCAAATGCCATCACTCTGCTAAACAACTAATTCCCACAACACTGTCAAATTATTTACTAAGACTGTATTACTATTATTATTCTCATCCTTCCTAGTACCTATCTTTTCCCACTTATGACTATAACCATGTTGCTTGTATCTTTACAATTTATATTGTTTTATTTGTTTCCTAGTATGATTTGATTGTTTATTAGTAACTTATGACTATCACTAAGTGTTGTATCATATGATTATTGATGAATGTGTTTTATTTTTCTTTATGTACACTGAGAGCATATGTGTTGTAGCGCGGGAATAACAAGAGGCACAAGCAAGCTAGTGACAACAGCTCTTTAATTCAGGGTGAGACTTCAGCAAAAACTCACAGGCAAAATCCCTCCTTATATACAGTTCAGAAATAACCGTTAACCAATCACAAGCATTCCTGCATTTGAATTTCCCGCACAAAATAGATACATACATAACAATATGCATCAAAGACAAATTCCTTGTGGGTCCAATCACAGTTGGCCAATAAAGAATTCTATTCTATTATAATTCTATTCTATTCTATTATTCTATTCTATTCTATTCTATTCTATTCTATTCTATTCTATTCTATTCTATTCTATTCTATTCTATTTAAAATTAGAGTTCTTTTATTTGATTTTGCGTTCTTTGCATTAGACCTGTTGTGATAGCTTCTTTTCTTTTTCTTTTCTTTTCTTGTTCTCTTTCTGTTTTCACTTCCCTTTCTTCTTGACACTTGCTGCATCTCGGATCTTTGAAAGATTTCTGCAGAGATACTGATGATTTAAAAGTTACAGCTGTCCTGACAGCTTGCTTGGAAACTGAGTCAGTCAATCCGTACAAAAAATTGTCTAGCTCCAAATCTCCCTCTGAGCTCCTGGAGCAAAGGACTTTGGATGATGGCTGCAAGATCTGTTTCAGTCTCATAGGATCATGTTGATGGATGGAGTGATTGCTTAATTTGCTTCTTATGACCTAAGAAGCCAGTAAAACATAGCTCAGTCCCCTTTCTCCTAACTCATATTTCATGACTGCATTTCACAGAAGTTTTACAAAGCGTGAATGAATTCTCTTAGTGTGAGCGATAAACCAAAATCATGTCCTTTAAAAAATGGTAATTAATTTTGAAGCATTTTTCTTTCAATTTCTGTACCAGAGGAACAAGAATAATGTCTTTCACGGTATATAAATTACTAGCAAAAAGACAGAAACAGGTGCCTATTTAAGTTAATATAATATAATATCGTCCAACTTACATTTTTTCAAAACAGAGATAAAAAGCTTTTCTAACCTGCATTTATAAAAATGGCAATGCTGACTACTGTAAGTAAGAAGTTAGAAATGTGTGTTGGTTTTGGTCTAACCCTAAAGTTGAGGTGGTACCGCCCCAGGCGCCTGATGGATCCTGATAGGTTCCAGACGGAGCTTGGGCCATTTCCTGAGGCTCTGGCACATGGCTCGACTGAGGAGCTGGTGGCCGCCTGGGATAGGGCGGCCGCTGGAGCTTTGGATCGGGTTGTGCCTTTGTGGCCTCTGACCCGGCATCGATCTCACCTGGCTCCTTGGTTCACCAAGGAGCTGAGGGAGATGAAGCGCCGGAAAAGACGCCTGGAGAGTGGTTGGAGGGCCAGACATTCTGAATCTGACCGAACACTGGTAAGGTCTCATATTAAGACCTACCTGGTGGCGATAAAAGTGGCGAAGTATAACTATTTTGCCACTCTTATTGCGTCATCAGATAATCGCCCGGCCGCCCTGTTTAGAGTGACCTGCTCCCTGCTCCACCAGGAAGTGCGGGAGGACCCCTTGGAGGGTAGAGCCGAGGATTTTGTACAGTATCTGTATGACAAAATCGCTCAGATTCGGGAACACCTGGACTCTGACTGGGTAGATTCAGCGGGGAGGACAGAGGCAGGTCTTGTGAGTATTATCTGGGAAGAGTTTGATTCTGTGACGCCTGAAGATGTGGACAGGATACTGGGCAGACTGAGCGCAGCCACATGTTTACTGGACCCGTGTCCCTCCTGATTGGTGCTGGCCTCTCGGGAGGTTACACGAGGCTGGCTCCAGGGGATTATAAATGCTTCTTTGAGTGAGGGTGTCTTCCCTGCCGCCTTGAAAGAGGCGGTGGTGAGGCCTCTCCTCAAGAAGCCTTCCCTGGACCCGGCAGTGTTGGCAAATTATCGTCCAGTCTCCAACCTTCGCTTCGTTGCGAAGGTTGTTGAGAGTGTGGTAGCGCGACAGCTCCCCCAGTACCTGGATGAATCATCGTATCTGGATCCGTTCCAGTCGGGCTTCAGGCCTGGGTACAGCACGGAAACGGCATTGGTCATGTTGGTTGATGATCTCTGGAGGGCTCGGGACAGGGGTTGTTCCTCTGTCCTGGTCCTATTAGACCTCTCAGCGGCTTTTGATACCATCGACCATGGTATCATGCTGCACCGGCTACAGGAGCTAGGGGTGGGGGGCACCGTCCTACGGTGGTTCTCCTCCTTTCTCTCTGACCGGTCGCAGTCCGTGTTGACAGGAGGGCAGAGGTCGACCCCGAGGCCCCTTGTATGTGGGGTGCCACAAGGGTTGGTCCTCTCGCCCCTTCTGTTCAACATTTATGTGAAGCCGCTGGGTGAGATCATCCGTGGTTTCGGGGTGAAGTACCATCAGTACGCTGATGATACTCAGCCGTACATCTCCACCCCGGACCACCCCAATGATGCCCTTGAAGTGATGTCCCAGTGCCTGGAGGCCATGTGGATCTGG